AAAAAAAAAAAAAAAAAAAAACAACCCTCTATTCAAATTCATGAATGTCTTCTAAGTGTGGCAACTCTTTCTAAAAACAAGTCCCTAGTACCAGGATGCTAGAAAATACTATTCTCCAGGGATAGTTGTTTTCCACTAATCCCAACCCTTAGGCCAGGAGTGTATTGGCTACTGAGTAAGTCTTGGGAGGCCAAATCTCTTCTGGCAACAGAGGGATTATTCCATGTTGGTAGCAGAGCTGTTTATTTTAGTGAGCAGAACATGTACAAAGGCTAAATGTGCTCTCGTGGCTTTAATGGGACGTCTATTTTAAGATGACCTCTGGCCTATGGCACCTTTTTGACAGGGCCTGGGTCTGTATGCCCACTAGGTGGATGTCTGCTCAGAGCGCCTCACCGCAGGGCACAGCGTGTATAGAGAACACTCTGACGGATGCCAGGAGGAGGTTAGATTCGCTTCCTGTAGACCCAGAGGATGGGACCAAAGATTGAGGCTGAGGGGTGGAGAAAGAGGGAGGTGCCTCCTTTCCCTTTCCTGCCACGGTCCCCTCTTATTTAAGGGTTATGAAGAAAAACTGCATATGAAAAAGGTACATTGAGTGAATTGCCTAATGGAACCCAATTAGTTTCTATTTTTTCCTGTCCTCAGAAAAAAGATCCATTTGTAAATACACTGAAACATTTTAGAAGAAAACAAGCAAGTCTCAGTCCCTACCACAGTCCCACCATTTCTCAGACTTCTTATGTTGTTATGGCTATGTCACCGGGCAGGAACACAGCTGGGAATTAAACGGCTGGCTGAGATGGGGGTGTGGTGCTTACCTTCTGCCCTGGAAAGATCCACCTGAACTCCACCTCGACGTCAGGCTCCCCCAGGACAGTGCAGAGCACACTGATGCCATCCCCACCTTGCACTTTGTTGGAGGAGGCCAAGATGGTGGTTGATGGGGGGCCGCTGGGAACTGGTGGTAGGCAGGAGACAGGGAGAGTGAGATGAGAGCCAAAAGCACGACACTAAAGACAAATCTGCAGATGTATTCTTTTCTTCGGAGAGAGAAGTGACACTTCTGCCTTTCTTACAGCTTCCCCCTAACACCTGGCCAGCACTAGCCCATCACTTTTGGTTTCCTTTGAAGCCACCTCTACCTCTTCCTTGGTGGTCCAGAATGGGGTGGTCATCCCAGACTCCCAGGTCCAGCCTCTACACTTGTAATTAGGGGAGGAAGGACTGGCCGGTTAGCTCAGTTGATTAGAGTGTGGCGTTATAATAACAAGGTCAAGGGTTCAGCTCCCTGGACTGGTCAGCCACCAAAAAAAAAAAAAAAAAAAGGGTGGAGGCTCAAAGGTCTACCAAGGGTCAGGTGAAGGAAAAAGCTGGGGGGGGGGGCGGGGGAAGAAGGTTCTTGGGGAAAGAGAAAGTAGAATGCACCTAAGGCAGCCTGGATGGTGACATCCGAAGGGATGGGGTGGACAGACGGGTGTGCAACTGTCCGTCCTCAGCAAGAAGAGGAGAAAGTGTCAAGATACGATGAGAAAGATGTCTGCAGGAATGGCATGCGAGCTGGCTATATAGGTGTGCAGTGCCTTAACTGCACAGCATTTCAGAAGCAATTTCCTCATTATGCTCGGTTCACACAGCAAGTCATTCTGATGGCAGCCTTAAGCAAGGCAATGTGCTAGGAGCCGGGACCGCGACCGAGAACGAGTCAGACGTGGTCTCCAGCCCTTGGAGCCTGTATTCTAGTGGAGGGGCCAATCCTAGCAAGTAATTGTATGGTTAATTTAAAACTTCAATTGCATTAAGAGCTATGAAGGAAAGGCCCAGCGTGCTCCAAAAGTTCGGAATAGTCTGAGAAAACCAGGAAAGGCTTCCTTGAGAAAGCAGTGAGCTTAAAAGACTTGGATGGGAGAAGGGGAGAGGCACAGTAAGGCTGGAATTCCCATGAGCAGAGCCCCCTGGCGAGGTGGAGGTGGCCCCAGTGGAGGAAGGCAGGGCAGGCTGCAGAGAGGGGAGGAGACCAGGCTGGTGAGAGGGCAGAGGATTTCGGTTCTAGTGGAGCAGGGAACCCTGAGCATTTTCTGATCGTTAAACCTGTCCCCTTCCACTGCAGAAACTGTTTTAGAAAGTTTATGCTTGGCTGTCTTAATCGTGAACTTTGGCTTCTGTAACCTCACCTGCTTCCTGCACCATGTGCTAAGGAAAGGTAACTGGTTTTGCACTGCCCAAAGGGCCAAATGCAAATTTGGCTCCAGAACTGACCAGTGAGCTATGTCTAATAGTCAACCAATCCGAATTAACAGACTTGCATCCCTCATTTGCCTAAGAGGACCTAAATGAGAACTTGGGCGGGAAGTTTTGGCTGAATAAGGCTGCCCCTTTCCTGCATTGGGGAGACACTAGCCTGACGCTTGTGCTCTCTTTGCTTGCAAGCAATAAAACGCTGTAACACCAAAAAGCTGTAAACTAATAAAGAGCTGTAACACCAACGTTGGTCTTGGATTCCTCTGTGCGAGCACCTCCCAACACTAGGAGAAGTGGGAACCTATTAAATGGTTTAATCGGAATTATAATCAGGTACAGTGTGGAAAATGCTGGAAGAAAAGGTGGATAGCAGAGAGTTCAGTTAGATAGGTATTCACTTAGTCCAGGGAAGAGATGATAGCACAAGCCGTTTCTGCAGTGAGGATGGAGAGGAACAGGGGATTTGAAAGTGATTTAATGAAAAAA